ACCTTTTTATGAATAATCTATGATAAAATTGTAACGCTTCTCTTAAATCTTGCCGCAATAAAAAAATTTAAGATAATTCCAAAAGCTTTGTAGTCAAAGACATACAAGCTTGAGAGCTGCTCAAAACTCTGGAATGAAACAACTCCGCAATTTAACTCTTTTAACGTCACTCTTCGGTTTATCACTAAGAAAGAGCATGCTATTGGCAATTGCGGTCTACTTGGTTTGACTCTACATTTTGGTAAAGATCTCGCAATCGTGACAGTTATCAGCAGACAATTGGGTCCATCTGCCCTTAAAAATAATGGGAACTGTTATTTATGAATGCGTTTTCTAATGGCTATTTTGTTTCTTCAACTTAACGATGGTTTTGGCAGATTGGTCACAAGACTTTTGTTCCACCGTTCGGTCAGTAATCATACTCGTAAATTACAACAAATAACACACTTACTTCCAGTGATGTAATTTTGTAAGTTGCTTTTGTAACTCACTAAATTAGACTCTTTGTGGTCCTCTAATCATTACTAATAGTTGCCGATCAAACCTTTGCAGTGCTGGTTTCCTTGTAAGCGTTCCAAGTTACACCGTCTGTGGATAGGTGCAGTTTATAGCTGGTGGTTCTTTCATGGTTTATCTTTTCTCCTTGGGTGGCCACAGCACAAACAGACAGCATTGTACCCATATCAACTTGAAGATAGTCTGTTCTGTCAGTGACAGTCTTAGGACACCATCCTCCATATCCCCTGTTTTCATGGAGTCGGCCATAGTATGGATAAAATCTTGTATCAAAGACTGTGCTTGCTGTCATTCTGGCATCTGAGATTGCATTTTTGTCTGCCACACCAACAGGCCCACATTCTAGTTAAAAGTAAAATTAATCAACAGTAAGGCTTATCTTTACCTACATTTATTTCTTTGCTTCCCAATGTAGAACAATATGATTTGAATAGTGTGGACCTTGAGCGCGGATCAAGCTGCAATGGTTGAAAACCATGGTTTACAAACTTCACGTTGTGAGGCAAAAGGGCGTTATCCTTTCATTTTTGGCCTTCTTTTGATTCATTTACCAAGCAAGCACAAAGGTCACCTCTTGCTGAATTGTACGTTCACCCATTTCAGGAATTTACAATGCAAGTTTAAGACACCGTTGTATAGATATCTCAAAAATTTGCCGTTGGAATTACCTATGGCCAACGGTATGTCTTAGGACATATCCTTAATCATGGAAAAGAGAAAGTTTCCTAAATTTCCTCAAAATTTCAGTTAAGGCTACCTTTAGAAAGAAGGCTGATTAAGAGAAAGCCTATGATTAACACGAAGGCAAATAGCCATGGAATATTTATTGTACTAACCTTTTGTATTCATGTCGCAACGAGCTAAAGTAGAGTTTCCAGATCTTGTGGAATCTAACCAATAATTACCGTTAACTGCCTGTCCTCCTTCACTCGCCTTGATCTCCTCGCACGATTCAGCAGGCAGCTCACGGATTGACCCCAGGGGAACTGAAATTGAAATATTGCACTTTAGCTAGGTAAAAGTTTGAAAAATCAGTAGGTAGTGGTGCAAAATCCATAAACGTAAGCACACCCTACTGTTTTATATTTGCAAGTGCTATTACCTCTGTTTGAATCTTTTGCCATGTAATATCTGTTCTCGTCCTTGACAAAGTCCTCTGGTCTGGCCTCTTTATTCCGGTTGTTCAACTCACATATTGCAATGCCCATGACGACATTAAAGCTTTGACATCTGTCATCAGCGAGACAAGTCTCTCTGCATTCCAGCATACCTGTTGTAGTCTTGAACGTCTTATAGGTATGGCCCTGAAGCATCATTCGATAAATCGAGTATATTCCGTGACATTGCTGACTGGCAATCTCACGAAACACGAGAGAAATGAAAAACAACGCGGTAAAAAATGAAACTTGTCGAACAGCCATATGAAGCATATCAGATTTGTTATACCTGCGAAGAAGAAAGCGATTGTTTTCATATGGAAAATGTTTGATTTAAGTGGGAGGAAAGTTTGAAATCTAAAAGGAGGATGGCAGGGTTGGTGAAGTCCAAAAAAAAAATAATAATGATAAAAATAATAATAATGCCAACAAACATTAACATTAAGACTAACAGCACCAAAATTTCAAAAACAATCAATAAAAAACAATAATAATCAACCTGTCCAATATTTTTTTTGGGAAAATTCCCTCGTGGGTAATCAAGGGAAAACCAAATTTTTTCGCTTAAAAATCCGCCCCTCCACCTTCTCCTTTGGCAGTATTTCTTGCCGTAAAAAATAAACTTTTGCCAGCTTGTAGAAGATTTTAAGAAGGAAGAATGATGAATCAAATAATCTTTCCCTCTATGAAAGAATGTCTTCGTAACACACTATTATTTAATAGTTCATTTTTTATCTAAATCGTCAGATTCATTTCTTTGCCCATCCTTTCAATTTCATCATGTAAAATTTCGGTGACAAGAAAATACTGCTGTTATTTCTCATTTAAAAAAATGAGATTTTTATAAAAAATAACGGAAACATGATTCCCCTTTCTGGTTAAAAGTACACGTTGTGTCTTTAACTGACTCCTTTAAGTCTTTTTTGAGGTGTGATGCACTACATATTGCCGAAAGTAGGTTGCCAACGGCCAACTGAAACTAACAGGATGTTGAGGGAGAGCAATATCAATTTTCCTTGAGGGAGTTATATTATTCCACGGACAACCACTCAGCAGATATTTAGCAACTGTCTTTCCTCACAGTGGTATATCGTTGTTTGAACAGCATAATAATCTCTATATCCACAAATGATCTCTATATCCACAGCTATAGGTAGGAAATTTTGCTTCGCAAGTTACGAAGGTTCGGTGATTTTTGCATTGAAATTTCCGTCAAGAATCTTAATCACAAGGTAGTTAATTTTTTTTTTCGAATTTCAGGGCGTATAAAACGTTCTGCAGGAAGAATGATAATCAACTACCAATATGAGGGCGCGCGAGTTTTTGTTACTCTTTCTGACATAGCTTGTTTTCACTTTTTCTGAATTGGCTATTCTCTAGGTAAGATTCGGAAAATGTATGTGCGTACCTGGTAAGCAATGTCCGTTATTGCTTAAGCTGACTCTAATAAGTCTTCTTCTGTGGTGTGAAGCACTACCGCAGGTTGCCAACGGTTAACTGACGCTGAGATGATGTTTCGAGGGAATTATAAATTACCGACCACGCATAAGCCCCTGCCTATCCCTGCAGGGGTTATTTGTGAGATAGGAAACTTTCCAATGTTTTTTAAGCTGCACGATGTCGTGTTTTACTTTAATAGAAAGGTTGATAGCATACGTGATCCAGATCCATATTCATTTAAACAGTTGAATTGCCGCATTGCTTCGTTCCGTGACAACTAAGAATAAGGAAATCTTTACCGGCGCCAAAATATAACAAGATTATTGTAGCCTTTCACTCGATTGAATCACCTGTTTACGTTTTCCGATAATTACTACGTGATTGGACATCATTTGAAGCCATTTCCGAGGAATAGCACACACACACACAAAAAAAACCAAAAAAAAACCAAAAAAAACCAAAAAGAACCAAAAATAAATAAAAAATAAAACAACGTAGAAGAAAAAATACGTTAAAGAACCGGTGTTTACAAACGAAACCTTGTCGAACAATATGCGTAGTTCTCATGGCAACAGCTTTATTTTGATTTGTTTCATTTAAAAGAAAACATCTCATTGTTTTCCTTGGCCTATATCGTAGGCTAAAATAACCAAATAAAACTGAAGCTTTTGGGATAAATACTCTACATAGTTTTGGCATGTAGAGATGATGATGATACCTAGTACCTGATACAGATGACGTTGTAGTTGGTAGCATATAATATGGTAAATGTGATGCAAAGTCGTTACGGTGGCGACACAAAGGTGAACTCATGTTATGATGTCTCCTAATACTAATCAATGATAAAAATAATCAATTATTAATGATAATGATTTCAGGACAAGCTCGAGTAAATGTGCGAAAGATTCACTAACCCTGAGAAGTATATTAGAGAGCGACTATCTCTGAGAATTCCATGCCTTCTCAATCATGCTACGACTACTTGATAAATATGCTTTAAAAATTTCGTGCTCCAGATTGTACTGTTTAGCATATCTATGTACGTGGAGCTCGTGTCCAGCTTTCATTGTTATCTGTTCATTAGTCTTTTTAACAGCTTCACCACTAGTCGAACAGAACGGAAATAAATTTTGTAAAGTCAAGTCTTTAGATCTTGTTGTCAGCTTTTCGATGAGACAAGCCGTTGGGATTTTTTAAATCACGTCTTGTCAAGAAAAAATCCTAGCGTTAAAACACCTGCACTTGGCATAACATGGGGAGAAGGCATAAAATGCTTTCTCTGACTGGTTGGTAAGCAGGTGGTAATTTTATGAGTTATGATAAAGAAAAATCACAATAACATAGGCGTACGTAGCATGAAAGAGTTAATTTTTTCGGCTGGGCGGGTTGAGATGGAATGTTTTCATTTTTGTAACAAAAAAAAAGAGCATAATTTTCAAACGGACGAAAATATCGCAATACTTCTCTTTAAGAGAAAGAAAACAAAAGCCTAATTTATCTGAACTCATACAGGTATTTTATGGTCTATTGTATCCATTGCCTAAATACTTGTAAGCAGAAATAAAATGGATCGGTGCCTCACTTATCATTGTCTCCTTCGCAGCCGTTGTTTGGTTTCGTCACACAACGCCATCTATTCCCGGTTGGAGAGCTAGTTCGCGTTGCGTGACGAGACCAAAATAATAACGGTTCCGGAAGAGACTACGTTTTAACAGAGAGAAAACCAAAATTATTCGTCTACAGTTAGTTACCTCGATTATACAATTCCACGTAATTTTTACACGAAAAGCAAACTGAAACTCTGTTGTATCTCCAATAGACCCTAACCAAAGATATATTGCGATCTCGAATAGGCGAATAAGCGAAGGTACACTGAACAAGAGAACTGATATCTTAGCCCATGCTCCTATTTCCACCAAATCAGAAAATTGTAATTTATTACTCTATGGCCTTCCTCAGTCTCTGATTGATCGTCTACAAGCTGTCCAAAACTGTGCTGCACGCCTTGTAACTTGCACCAGGAAACATGATCATATCACGCCAATTCTCCAACAGTTATATTTACACTGGCTTCCCGTGTACAGCCGTATCAAATACAAGATGCTTCTGTTAACCTTCAAAGCGTTACATAGGTTAGCACCTTCCTATGTAACAGAAATTTTACAACCCTAGCTTAAGATCCTCTTCTAGGAGGCTCTTAGATCATCATTTTATCATCTCACGAACCTATCTAGAATTAGGAAGTATCTCACTAAAGAATCAGAAGTATTTGCTGTTCACGCATTTGACACATCGTGACTAGGCTATTGCAATGCATTATTATATGGCTTGCCTAAGTATCAGTTACAAGGATTGCAATATGTACAAAACACGGCGGCTAGAGTTGTGTGTCAAACGAGTAAGTTTCAGCATATCACACCTGTTTTGCCGGAGCTTCATTGGCTACCGATCCAATACTGTATTATTTTCAAGATTCTGCTTCTAGTGTATAAATCACTGAATGGGGCATCGCCTAGCTATCTAGCTCAGAAACTACGTAATCGTTCTCCCATTAGATCATCTAGGTCTGTTAGTAATGAACTTTTAATGCAAAACTAAGACCTACGGAGACAGAGCATTCACTGTCCATGCGCCAAGAGAATGGAACTTAATACTCTATGGAATTTCAGAAGTCTAACACCATCTCAATTTTTAAAGGAGCACTTAAGACGTTCCTGTTTAGTAAATATATTAATAACATACCATTATTTTTATAGATTTATATATATTGCTTTAGATTTAATTTTCTTTTTAAATCATTGTCAATTTTAGCTATGTTTAAGTATCATATAATAAGATATGGCTGACTTTAGTTTTGTTTTTCTTTTTTAATCAGTATGAATTTTAGCTATGCTTAAGTATCATATAGTAGAATATGGTTGTAAATTTGTAAATTTTTATTGATAATGGAGCAATAATATACATGAAAAAAATTACTCAGTTCTGATTGGTTAAGATAAATGCATTTTCAGGTAATTTAATGCAGAAGAGCGTTAATTCAGTGCAAAGAAAGTAACAAACCAGACATTCTGATTGGTCAATAATCAAGGAAACTCACAGATAGCCAATCAAATGCGAACCTTGGATGTCGCAACATTTGGCTACGCTGAAAATTTGCGAGCGAAACAATGGCCGGCGTTTTGAATAGGTTTTCTTTCGCCACCGCGACAACAATAGCTGAAAAGCAGTTCTAACAACGAAAGCACCGTAAAAAGCACGGCTTTTCGGTTTTCGGTTTGGAAAAAGTGGTGTTTAGAGAAGGAAATTGCCTAGGAAGCAGATCCAGCTTAACACTTTGCTGGAGCGATTCTATGTCGAAATTAAAAGCAAACATAGTTAAACCTCGCAAACGAAGATTCCATCTCATCGAAAGTGATTCGGACGCAGACTTAACAATTCCTTATACTGTTTAGCCGGACTTTTAACTTTTTTGCGCCTTACAGATATGAAAATATCATTGTACATTACTGTTTTGATAGTACGCGGTTGTTTTGACGGAATGCACAGGTTTGAATAAATTATTTTGCACTTGATGCGCGTGCTTTGCTTCCGCGTAATTATGATAAGCTATCTCATATCTTTCTTGTATATTATTAATACGTAATCACATGATTTTTCTCGTGCAGTTTGAAATAAATAAGCACTTGTTAATTTTTAAAGGAGTAACAAAAATGCACTTGCCCTACAGGCTCGAGCAATTTTATTAATCTTTGAAACATTCATTCGTGCTTATTTATCCCAAATTGTACTCGAAATCATGTGATTACCTATACTAATTGTAAAACACGGTATTTCCATGAAATTTGCCCTTGTTGCGCGCGAACCAAGTGACCATATTCCATCGAAAAAATTTATTCATCACTATTTGCATTGTGTGAAAATTTCAGTTCGCAGCGATTTAAAATGGCGAAATTATTAACATTTGCTGGATTTAGGCAATATTCAAACTTTAGGTTCTATTACCTCGTTTTGGACCTTTTGCCATATAACATCTGTTCTCGTCCTTGACAAAGTCCTCTGGTCTGACCTCTTTAGTCCGGTTGTTTAACTCACATATTGCAATGAACATGACGAAATTAAAGCTGTGACATCTGTCATAATAAAGACAAGCCTCTCTGCATTCTAGCGTACCTGGTGTAGTCTTGAACGTCTTATAGGTGTGGCCCTTAAGCATCTTTTGATAAATCGAGTATAGATCGCCGCCAGTTCCATACTGCTGAGTGGCAATGTTAAGGAACATTTGAGAAGTGAAAAACAGCTCGGTAAAAAATGAAGCCTGTGGACCAACTATATGAAGCACATTAGATCTGTGATACCTGCAAATGATAAGGCGAGTGTTTTCGTGGAAAAAATGTTTGATTTAACTGGGAGGAGTGTTTGAAAATCTATAAGAAGGATGGCAGGGCTGGTGAAGTCCAAATGATTATAATGTCAACAAAGAAATATTTAAATAAAGACCTACTTAGTAAACAGCGTTAAGCCAGGATAGACTTACAGCTTCGAAATTTCGGGAAAAAAATGATAATAACTATCAACCTGTCCAATATATTTTTTGGAGAAATTTCCCATTTGAGTAGTCGAAGAAAATCCATTTTTTTTCGCTTAAAATCCACCCCTCGACCCTCTCCTTTTGCAATCTATCTTGCTGGCGATCAGTTTGCGGGAAAGACGAGTAACTGTGTAAAAAATAATTTTTTGACCGCTTGAAGAAGATTTCAAAAGGTAAAATGATGAATCAAATAATATTCCCTCCATGAAAGAGTATCCTCGTAACACACAATTGTTTAATAGTTCATTGTAAAGTCCTTCTTTAAATCGTTAGGTTCATCAATTTGGTCCTTTACTCAATTTATGACTAATACCATCGGTGACGGGAAAATACAACTTTTAGTTTTCATTTGAAAAAGTGATTTTTATTGCAAACTACGGAAAAAATGATACGCCTACGTGGCTAATAGTACACGTTGTTTCTTCAAATGACTTCGTTTAGTCTTTTTTTTTTCCTATTGAGTTATGATGCGCTATTGCCAAAAGTAGGTTGTCAACGGCCAACTGAAACTGACAGGATTTTAAGAGAGAGAATATCTCTCTTGGAGAGAGTTATATTAGTCCAAGGACAACCACTTAGCAGATAATTAGCAACTGTCTGACCACACCGGGGGTAAATCGTTGTTTAAACAGTAGGTTTTATTGGAAAAAAAATTTTGACCAGGCTTTGTTGCTCTTTGCTTTGCATTTGATACAGATTACGTTGTAGTTGGTAGAATATAATATGGTCGTTACAGATGCGACACAGAGGTGAACTCATGATATGATATCTCCTAATACTAATCAATAATAAAAATCATCAATTATTAATGATAATAATTTTGGGCCAAAAACGAGTGAATGTGCGAAAGATTCTCTAACCCTGAGAAGTATATTAGAGAGCGAATATCTCTGAAAATTCTATGCCTTCTCAATCATGCTACGAGTACTTTATAAACATTCTATATAAATTTCGTGCTCCAGATTGTTTAGCATAACTATGTAGGTGGAGCTCGTGTCCAGTTATCATTTTCACCTATTCATTATTCTTTTTAACAGCTTCACCTCTACTCGAACAAAATCTAAATGTCTTGTAAAATCGAACCTTTTGATCTCGGTGTCAGCTTTTCGATGAGAGAAGCTGTTGGGAAATATTTAAAACGATAGTCGCGAGGGATTTTTTGAAATTACGTTTTCACAGGAAAAAAATATCGGTTTCAGAACACATGCATTTTGCATGAGCGGAGGTCAGTCACTGCTTAATACAATGTATGTGTTTGAAAATGATTCAGAAACGTGAAACTTCCTCAGTCCCATCAAAACTATTTAAACATAAAATCCCCTGTGTAGGAATGTTCTCTACAACTGGAAGTAGTCGAATTTCCCTTGGTTAGTTTTAGTTGTTTTTCATTTTGTTGTTATACTGACCCAGAAAAAGAATGCGTATTTGGAAAACGAATTCATTTTGCGCCACCGTAAGTACGTCAAAAATATATTCTAGATTAAAAGTTAGTGGCACAAGGCTACCCCAGAACTATTTAAGAATAGATTTTATAGTCTTGGGTACTTAGTTTTTGGAATGTTTTTCTTAGAATAAACTTATGAGACTTATTTCACAAACAAATACTTTCTATGAAATTGTGAACGAAAATCTTACAATATTTATGTATCATTAGTAGGATAGAAGGGGTGCACTATGATACACAACCAATCAAGGAGAAAGTAATTTGTACCACGTGGTACAAATAAACCAATTATATGGAATCCAAGATGGCGATTTGATAAAACGCCATAAAACTAGTTCATTTGTACCCCGTGGAATAAAATGCTTTTTCTGACTGGTTGGTAAGCGGATAGAAATTTTATAAGTTATGATAAAAAAAACATCACAATAACAGATGCACCTGCCCCCAAAAGAAGTGCATGTAAGGGTAATAGAAATAATGTAAGAAGTAGCTTATTGACTGAAATTTACAATTCAATACAACAGTTCTGAAGATCACGGTGATGGCACGCTTGCAACAAACATTGTTACCTTTACCCTGCGCCAAGAAATAATGGGTAATAAAGCGCGATCTCATTATGTTTTTTGTGGAAAAAACAAATAAAAAGAGCTGAACGAAAATGTAGTCGTAAGAAAGCTGCAGGGATTTGTTGCGTAGACCAAATGTCTCCAGCATACAGTTCTGTTCATCCTTATCGAGAGATAACAATAACAGATATAGACTTGCTCGAACTTACACTCCAGAAGCATCTGTGACATTACAAACCACTCGTGAATTAGTCTTGACATGACTAAGAACGAGAAGGAACTTTCAGAAATAATCAAAATTTATACTCTTATTTATATATTAATATGTATTTATATTAAGCACGAAATCTTGACTCCGAGAAAAAAAAATACACTTCTCGATAATGTTATGGAATTAAATTTGTTTAATGTGGGATCATTATGGTTTTCTTATTCCATAAAACGTTTATGTCATGTGCAAAACTTTAAGATGAAACTTCAAAGTTACGCACCATTCAATAAAGTTATGTCTTACTTTGTGGCTTTCTTTGAAGAAAAAAATATGAACGCGATCCTCGCAGTTACGAACACTACTTAAGTGGTAGTAATAATAAAGCCTGAAAAATATTCAGGCCCGAATAGGCTTTCAACCCATGATCTGTGCAATACCGGTGCAGCGCTCTGCGGTAACGCAGAGGTCATGGTTTCAAATCCCGTACGGGCCTAAATTTTTTCAAGCCGTATTTTTACTACCACTGGAATAGTGCTCATACCTGCGTGGATCGCTTCTATATTAATTACACATACAACTAATGCGAGCCGCTTTAGTAGTAATTGCAATTATTTGGAATGCTTGGCAGAGCATGAAAGAACCCAATCGGTAGTTGCTCCTGTGGACTCAGTGTCATTTTTGTGACAAATAATAAATGTCTACTGTTAAGTTGTGTGATCCAACGTGACAAGACAGTCATGAAATATAATTTTAATAAATTCAATTTTAAAAAATATCTATTTGTATGGTTTACATTATTTTTTTCTGTCGTTTCTTTGGAAAATTATCTAAGCTGTTAACCCAATTGCATTACCCATGGATATCTCTGACTTTTCATAACCAGATTCATATAATTGTTACAAAATGTCACTACAAAAGTTGATCATAAACTAAAGTCTTTCACTTATTTTCCAATGTATCAGCACACTATTTGTTTGTTCCTTTGTGTGTTTTTACATCATTTTAAGTAGTTAATTAAACAAAAGAACTTAGAAAAATGCACCAATGATTTTAAAATAAACATGCATTATCGAATATGTAGAAAGATATCTTGAGGTCCACCCGCGTATCCAACCCAGACCGGAACAAGGGAAAGGGGAAACGAGGAGGAGAGGGAGGGGAGGGGGAGGTGGAGTAGCTAGGATAGTGTTTTCCCCGCTTGATTTTCTTGTGATATATACCTAGATATCATAAAATCCCCCAAATATTCTAGACAAATTGGTAAAGTAAAAACAATAATACACGTGCCGACGAAATGAGATTACAAAATGATGAAATTCACAATCATTGGTTTTCTAAGTTTCTTTGTCCGGGAGATTGAGGAATGTGCGCTTTTCGTCAAGTCACAGTCATATGTTCATATAACCCCTGTGTAAAGTTCTGATTGTTCTCGGCTTATTAGTAATGGTTCATTCTCGCCAGAGTCTGCACTTTCATCTTATTCGTCATCAGGTGCTTGAATAATAAAGCGCTTAACGATCGTATATCGTAAAATCAAAACCAAAGTAATGAGAACGGCCCATTCCAGCCTCAAAGACCAAAGACTACACGGAGTACAACAAAAAGGCACACACGCGGGAAAACGTGGGCGACCATACGATTTGATTGTGTTTTGCATCTGATTGGTTGAGAGAATGGCGTGAGTCACTGTAGAAATGTTCTGGACCTATTACAGAGTGAAGCAATTCTTAAAAAACAAAAAACGTCGAAATTTATTGTTAATTTTAATTTACAGTGTCGTGTAGTATACACTGTTTTCTTTCTTCCCTTTTTTTCCTGAGCACACTACGCGATCCAACTTAATCAAATAACAAAAATTTTTGCACGGATTTGAGAACGAGTCTAAAATTGGATTACACGAGTTGTAGTGTAAGGTAACGTTAGTTAGTGTTTAGTTTATTCTTTCTTTCTCTTTTTTTCCTCTTTTTCTTCCTTTCTTTGGTGCACCAGACTTAATAGTGTATTAGTTGGTGGTTGACTCTCATTTAAGTTTTTGATAAAGTGCTTCCCTTTATAAAAGAACTTATGTGATAGGGGTATCTTACACTACGATCAATTAAGAGTCATTGTCTGAGAAAACCGGGCAGGGTCAAAAGATGGGGGTCGGCCGATTTCCTCCAAATTAATACCATTTGATAGGCATCAGATAGAAATACGACTGGCAAAATATGAGCGTTAACGAGCTTTTAGTTTACAAGTTAACCACCCCCCTCAGTTTTGACCCCGAGAAAGCCTATGTACTGTACGAATTGAAAGCCCACTTTGAGAGCTCATAAAGCTTGCTACACAAGATAATCACAATTTTTATTAATTTTCCAGTATTTTCCAAGCATTTAGCTAGACATTCGTGGTGAAGGAAATTAGTTTCGTGAATTTGATTTTTTATCGAGCGACGTAAAACATCGTATGGTTGACGTACTTCCGGTGATACTGAAATTTTGGGCAATTTTAGAAAGCCGTTTCTCAAAAGTGCGGCAGTTTTTTTCAAATTTTCTTCGATTTTATAGTTATTTGGGGGTTTCTTATTGAATTGAAGCAA